CGATTTTCAATTTTTTTGTAGTTTATTGCACTTTTTTGCAATTTATGTAATTACTATGCACTTAATGCAGACATATTATTAAAATCTGGGCTATAATTGTTGTATTGATGTATAGCAACTTGAAATGCTCCCAAAAATGGCTCCACAGCATGTAAAAATATAATATAAGCTCTGGCGGACTTGGGCTACATCCACACGTACACGGGTTTTTTTGAAAACTGAGATTTTCTGTTTTCGTTTTAAAAAATAATCCCGTCCACATGTAAAGGCAGAAATGAAGGAAAACGCTGCTAGGAACATGCCAAAGCATTTTTAAAAATCTCCGTTTTCAGTGACTAAAAACGCGGTTCTATGGGTTAAGAGTTAGTTTTTTCTCTTCTGCTTATTTAAGGTTTTTTTTTTTCGTAGTGTTTTCATGATTGCCCTGGTTAACCTGTGGTTAACATCACAGTGGTATAAACTGTGAGTAATGCCTTAAGTTAAAGTCTGAAAACATACAGACGCACAGAAAATATTCAAGAGAACTTTGTGAGACCTCAGGCATCCAGTTTTACTCTGAGACAACGTTCAACCTTCATGTCTGAGCAGGAACATTGGGATTTGACCTTTTACTGTCATTAATAAAAAGTTATATATTAAACACAATTGTAGTACAAAGCATAACTGCAACATGCATATAAAATACTTACCAGCACCAGTTTAACTAAACATGTATAAGTTTCTCTGGAGTTTTCAGTCAGCTGTCTTCTCTCAACCTTCCTGTTTCCACTACAGCTGCTCTTTTTTAGATTGTAGAAATCACATTCACTTATTCACTTAATAATAGAAAAATAGTCCCTATTTTCATGAGTTCACTCCAGCCAAGCTAATGAAACAAACCAAATTGTCAGTGTGGGCAAGATGTAAATGTTCTATAGTCAAATTATTGAATAAGAAAAGGAGCCGCACAAGGCAATAAAAACCCTCTGCATATTTCCATAATTTTTTAAATATGTATCTCTTGCTTTATATTACTTTCTGTATACCTATCTACATCGATGCATCGTTTTCAATCAAATAGCTGTTTTATTACTTGAAATAAAAGAAACTGAACACGTAAAAACCCTTTAAATTATAACTAGAAGAAAGCTGAAAGCTACAAACACAAAAGTAGACAAACATGTTAACACAGGAGAAAGTACAAGTCAAAAACTAAGATCACAACAGTAACTATGGCAACACCAGCACAAGCTTTACCCATCACCTGCTCTGCTTACTACAGTTAGGTCTCTGTGACTCTGTCTGCTCCTACAAAGTGGCAGTCAAGTTAAAATGACAGATACGAGGACATCCAGCATGCTTTGAAACTGCACTCCATTGAAAGCGATGAACCAAATTTCTATCAGATAAGGTTTGGGACTGTTATGGTCTCATTTATGGCTGTTACAGTTATTAAACAGCAGAAGTAGAAACAGGACATAAACAGTACAATGTTTTGTTGTCCCCCCCTGACCTCCTCAAGCAGATCTCTGGCTCTCTTCACTTTCCTCTCCATCATTTGTGTAAGTCAGCAGAGGATGCTGTCAGATGAAACAGAACTATGGATCCTAATAAACTGCACACAGACAAAGCCTGTGCAGTGACGTCCACAGAAGGACAGTGTCTAAAGTGTTGAAAGAGACGCTGCAAAACAAAACAAGAGACTAGAGCCTATCAGGAAAACTAGTGAGTGGACCTCTGATTAAAGAATTTCTACCAAACTACAACTGCAGCTGAACAAATGAGCTGTTGGTGGAACTTTACACTCTGAAATATTGAAAGATTCAAAGGATGAGACAGCTCAGCACAGCATGTTATTAACTTCACACATGAAGTGGTTCAGTCCAGTCAGACTTCAGTTTTGCAGCCACCGTCCACATCCTGCTTCTTCGACTGGTCGTCACGGTAACTCTGGACTTTCCTCCAACGAATCCTGAAGTCTGTCAGTCCTTCTGACAGCATGAGGCCTGACAGCTGGACAAAATGTGCAGATGATGAAAAACATGAAGCATAGTTTGAACTTGTGTCAAGTTTGTGTTGGTGACTGAACTGCTGACCTGCTGTGAAACCTGCTGCTGGATCTCTGTGCTGTGCATGTCTGCCTCTGACTGAAGCTTCATTTTCACCACTGTTTGCTTTGTCACTGCTAAAAATGAACCACATATAACAACACAAACATTAGTGTTTTACATGATGACAGGATCTTACAGTGTTTGCATTCTGGACCTCACCTGTGAAACAGAAAAAACGGATTCTGTAGTTACAGCCACCATCATACCATTTTCCAGATAATACATACATTGATACACAGTACTCATTGGGATTGAGGTTATTAGGCTCAGCAGGATTCCAGTTAGTGAATGTGGAGGTTGTGTTGTCAGACCAGAAGGCCCAGGGATCCCTGTAGAGACCAATCCACACATACTGAACCCCTGATCCATTCAAAGTGAGCGTGATGTTGGATTTCTCCTCTTTGCTTCTTATACTGGTCAGGTCTGTGTGGTATGTCCTGCAGTACGACTGAGCCGCTGACCAGGAGCGGCTCTCATTCACTAAGATATAACTTGAACTGCTGGCTGTGAAATATTGAAAAGAGGTTTTTTTCTTTTAAATAGGTAAATTATGACTCACATAAAACTGTAATAACTATGCCAACAAATCTTTTTCCTACCATTGTAACACAGGAAAGGGTAAGAAGCTCCACAGGGTCTATCATCCATCTGTGTTTGTCCCTGAAGAGCCACACAGTATTCCTTTGCATTTACACAGTCTGGTTGGCCGTTAGCCCAGATCAAAAATTCATGTGTGCTGCCAACATAAAAAAGTTTTCCCTCCATGGACCACTTCCAGCTGTAACGATCATTATAGAGCCCTGTCCAAGCCCAGTCAACATTTTGTGCCATTGTCACAAGCAGTTGGTTGATGTTGCTGTTGTAGATGGTGACCAAGTCAGTGAAGTGTTCTCTGCAGTAACTCTGAGCTTCAGTCCAGGTCTTCAGCTGGTTCACAAAGTGGTATTCTCTGGAGTGGGGAGGAAGAGTGGAAAGTCCTCCTGAGAAAAATGAAAAGATTTTATTGTGGAAACTGGGCTGTTAGACAAATCACTGAAGACTGAAAGACTGAAAAGGGTGGGTGTTATATACATATATATATTATATAGTTTTAATTGGTGATGTACAGAGATTTTGCAGAAGGAACTTTACAACATTACAACATATATGGGGACAGAGATCAAATAGCCATATACATTGTTGGTCAACATATCCAACAGAATTTCAATTTCTCAAAACTGTAATAAAATGTAAGTAATAGTTCCCAGTAGAGCTGGGCGATATAAGATTTTTTTCATATCACGATATGTTTTTTTTTTGTTTCAGACGATAACGATATCTATCACGATATAAGCCAAATAACTATATTTGTAAGATTTAAATGTGCCGTTGCTCAAAAGTAAAATGTGAAATAATCAGCAGCTTGTTTTTATTTAAATATTTATTTCCCATAATAAGTTCAACAGGGTAGATGTACTTAAGGAACATGAGACTTTTTCAGATAAATAAAGGCAAATATTGCAAACTACACAAAAGGCAGCCGCTAAAGCGTTTAAGTTTCAAAATAGAACAAACGAAACAGACTAAACTGTCAATTCCACTTAGAAACAAAATATTAATTCTAAAAATAAATCTTAGTTTGTTTTACAGAAGAACAGACAAAACTGACTAACTTTTGTCAATATCAAATAAACTGAGAACTAAAAGGAAATTCTCAATCTCTCCTTGTTGTATAGCTAGCTTTTCAAACAGTTTTAACAGTTACTTTAGTCTGACAAAAGCCGAATGACGAATTAGCGCTTCCAGTCAGAGACTGAGGCTACGTCCACACGTACACGGGTATTTTTGAAAACGGAGATTTTCCGTTTTCGTTTTAAAAAATAATCCCGTCCACACATAAAGGCAGAAATGAAGGAAAACGCTGCTATGAACATGCCAAAGCAGCAGGTGGCGCTAGATTCCTAACCGTGCAGAAATGTTGGCCAATCAGAAGTCTAGAAGCCTCGGTGGGAAAAAGTAAACAAAGCTGGGGCATAGAAGCAGAACCGAGTCGTATGTGTGGACGGACAGTAACTGTGTGTATATGTAAGCATTTAAACACTGCAGAGAGTAGAATTAACAGTAACAGTATTGTAGAAATTCATTTCACCGAAACAATAACGTGGCGCACAGTGTGACGCATGCACCAGTTTATTGTATTTCCAGACTTGCTTTCGGCACAATTTACAGTGCACGCTACTCTGTTTTTTGTCAGACTTGAAATAGCCGAAATACCTTCACACTACGGAACTTCTATGGCTCTTCCGTTCGACAATCTCTCCGGCATTGGAACCATCATCTGTTTTCTCTTCGGTCACGCTCGGTTGATTTTTCTAGTCGGCACACTCATTTCCTCCATTACGCGCTGGCTCCATTACCCGCTGGCTGCTTCCCAAACAAACACACGTGCGGCTTGGCACTTGTGCTGTACGTAACAAGTCACGCGACGTGACGCTGCGGCTGTGATTGGTTCGGCTCTGCGCTACTTAATTTGGATTGGCTGACCTTTTTTTTTTTTTTTTTTTTTTAAGAGGACAAGAGCGGCGAGGTCTATCGCGATAGCTTAATTTCTCTATCGAGTAAAAGTTATATCGCGATACATATCGTTATCGTTCTATCGCCCAGCTCTAGTTCCCAGTTGTTGTAATCTTTGTTAATTGCACAAAACTCAAAGATCTAGACATTAATGCTCAAAAAACATCTCACACAACATATCAATATTAATGCAAACGATTGCCTCAGTTGCACTGAGTATTACTAAATTTAACAGCTTAATTATATTTAATCAGTCTCGAAACTTTGACTTATTAACTCAAAATTTTGAGAAAATAACTTAAAATTTCAAGTTAGCGCTGCCAATCAGTAATCTATGTGAATGATGTCATTTCCTTGTTACCTGGAAACTGAAGCCCTCAGCTACAAATGCTACAGCTAAGCTACCAGTATTACATCCAGTCATGAATGCACAGATTGCTGAGTATTTTCAGCCTGGCTTCACAAATGATGAAATCTTTGTGTTATTAGCTGAATCACATGGTGTTACTATCAGCAAATGTACTCGCAAAAGCACCAATTTGTTGCAATCCGGTTTTGAGTGCCCATTCCTCTGTGCCATATGCTTCTGGGTAACAGGAGAGTGACTTCATTTGGAAATTACTGATTGGCAGAGCTAACTCAAAATTTTGAAATCTCGATTTATGTTTCTCGAAATTTCGAGAAAATAACTCCAAATTTCAAGTTATGGATACTTTTTTTTTTTTAAAAATTTTAGTGCCGGAAACAGGCTTCCATAAACAACACTGCACTGTTAATATTAAAAAAATATTAAAATATACCATTTTTTAAATGTCAAATGCCAAAAACGATATGTAGTGCTGCATATCGGAATAGTAGATTTGACTAAGAAAACTATTAAAACTCTAATATGTACATATACTATACCACTGTTATGGGTTTCTTATTTTAATATTTGCAATACTTGCTTGGTTAACATTCATATTCAAAACAATAACAATGAGAAATTTCTTGTTGTACAATTTTTGCAACAACAAAAAAATTAAACTGAGTATTGTGCTCTGATACACTGATCCAGACTCGAGTTTTTAAGTTCGTGAACAGGATCCAGGCTACTTTACTCTGAATGAATACAGTGTCATTCAACCCCTTGGTCATAATTGTAGTAATATATGTAGTGTATAGATCCAAAGACCATTCATATTTATATTATCTCTTTACAGAAAAACATCTCCGATTACCTTGCAGCAGTGGTTCTCAAACTGTGGTACACGTAGTACTGGTGGTACTTAGGCTCTCTCTAGTGGTACACGGGGAAATCTTTGATCAGTTTTTTAAGATTTAACAATATACCATTGTGGAGCTATGCAAAGATGACACAAGAGGTTCTTCTGGGAGCTGGAGTTTACCAGAAAATATTTCCCCAAGCTCAAGTGCTCTATGAAGAGTAGCCTTTCCTTATCGCAAGTGGTCACGGCTGCTACAGAGCACTGGTGGGCTCATTTCCCTGGACCTTAAAACTGCAAGGCGGCAGACAACGCTGTGCAACGGTGCCAAAATGCTGATGGTAAATAAAAAGAGCCCTTTTCCGCAGTGCTGTGATCCCAGCCACTATCCATGAGTTGGAGGCCCCCGGGAGAATCAGTGGGGTCATGGAGGGTTATCACATTGGTGCTCATTGTGAAAAGTTTGGTGGACAGCGGATCCAGTGAGGCCACCACAAGATGTATTTTGTGTCATCAGCTGAAATGCCACAAAGAGCAAACTGAGCTTTGATGTCCCCAAACCACGAAGGAGGGTCATGAAGCCAACAATCTTGGAGCTTAACCACCACAGCAAAAATTACAACGTACAGCTTTGCTATCACTTCCGACATAAATGAAGACAGAAAACTAAACAGCAGTGGTGTTTGTAGGGTTACTGAAAATGGGCTAGTTGGTATATAATGTTGTGCTTTTTTTAGGGTCTTGTTCAGATTAAAGAGAACAAGATAAAAGGCATTAAAACATGTTAAAAACACAACAGCCTTAATAAACTTAGTAGTTTGGAACTGGAAGCAGGATTCACAAGGTTTAATCACGTCATCACTTAAAGATCGGATATCCCACCTGCTGTGAATATTTTAATGCGGTACACTTTTTATGATTATCACTTGTCACATCTTGTTTATGGCAGTTAAAATAGATAACATTCATATAAGATATGAAATTGTCTCATGCAAACTGTATATGGTGTTATGGTGTTAAATAGGCCTATACTACTGTACTTTAATGTCAGTCATAAGGGTGGTACTTCAAGAGCCATATATTTTATGAGGTGGTACTCATTGTGAAAAGTTTGAGAACCACTGCCTTCAAGTACTGACAATTAAGGAAATAAAAAAGATAATGCAATACCTAAAAGTAACATTTAGCTAACAGTTATCTTCCTATGCTAACACAGTTAGCAGAAGGAACGGAGGGACATTGGCACTGTCCTCATTTACCAACAAGCAGAAGAGTAAAACCCAACTCTGCATCTTCAACCATAACTTTTTAGTCAGGACTAAGGAAAAAACATGCGGTAAGTAGCTCTGACCAACATATGTAGCCTTAATGTTGTTCACCTTCGCTATAGACACTCACAGTTCACAAGGACTACACAGTGAGCTAGTTCAACCTACTGACATAAGAGGTATGTGAAGTTTGGTGTAGCTTTGTATTATTAGTTCTGAACCCTACTTCGTCAATGTCCAGGATAAGCATTGTATCAATTATAGAGTGAAATCAGTCAGCTAACTTGATTTGGCAGTGATTTGATGTCAGGTGCCATCCCTGAAGCAAGTCTTCCCATTTTATCTGGGACCGGAACAAGGAATACACTGGCTTGTTGTTAATAACAGTAATAATAACAATGAGGAGGGAAAGAAGTGAAGGTCATCGTAGTTTAAGGAGCTTGGAAAGAAAACTGTCTGGACTTCTTTAAGTTACTTGAAGACGTTTCACCTCTCATCCGAAAAGCTTCTTACAGTTCTAAAGTCAAATGGGGGAGAGTCCCAGATTTAAGTCCTAAGGGAGTGTCCCCCAAGGGGGTCACAGAAAAGAAGATTAGACACCAACTGTCTGCCATCTATAATCCAGTTTTGAGATCCTTTCCCAGATGCCTTAACGCCCACTCTCATCCTTGGCCTTTTGACCTCAGGAAATTACAGCATAGGGTGGGTCTAGGTTTTGACAGCGGCTTCACCTTGGCTGATTGTGACCTACACCCGTTTTCACACCTTGGCTCATGCGATTAGGTAGAGGATCAATAGGGGGTTCTCGACCCCCTTGGGGGACCCTCCCCTATGACTTTAATTGGGGACTCTCCATCATTTGACCCTAGAACTGAAGACCTTCTCGGATAAGATGTGAAATGTCTTCAAGCAACTCAAAGAAGTCCAGATGCTTTGCATTCCAAGCTCTTCAGACCATGTATCAGCATTAAACATTAAAAACTAGTTAGTTCAATAGCTACCATAGAAATAGCTGCAAACAGTCATTCAAAAAATCTAAATTTAATGATTTTAAAAAACCAACATAATTGAAAATTAATGCAGGTATTGTGGTATTAGGAGGTAAAGAATTTCTCCCGGTGCTTGCGGTTGATGTGTTAATAAATACATTTTTTTAAAATGTGCATGTAATTTGATTACCCAAATGACATCAGTCTGTCTCAATGTGTTTATAGGATATATTTGAAATGTTTAAGATATTAATATTACTGACCTGAGAGCAGCAGGATGACCAGTAAACAGGTTTCTTCCATTCTCTGCTTATGTATAACAGATATAATCATGATTATTATTGTACCATATTTATTACCAAAGATGTTTATTTAAGATTTCTTATCTGCAGTCTAAGTTTCTTAGTATATTTAATTTAATTTATTTATTTAGGACAGTGCATGTTAATGAACATAAATGTAAAAAATTACATGAATGTAAACATACCAGATTAGAGCCAAGGGCTAATTTCCATCTGTTGTCCATAAACATAAAAAATAGACATAATTCATAAAAATTCATCATTCATTCATAATAAAAAATCCATCACCAAACTCACACATACACACCATTCTGTTCCCAAATAAAACATTAAAACTATACAACTCATACATGATCACATCCTTGATTTGTCCTTAACCAGTTTTTAACCTGTGCCTTAAACACAGTTTATATGCATGTCCAAAAACATTATATCCAATACTTTTTAAACATGTAAAATCTGTCGTGTCTTTAAAATGGTTTAAATGATCATTTCTAAGTTTTAGAATAATGTTTAGAATATAAAACACACAATAATATAATTTTATAATTAATGATGCATAACTTACCTGACAGCTTATCTTTGCATCTGTGGACTGAAGTTGGCTCTTAAGAAGGTCTGCATTTGGTCTTTTCATATATTTTACTGTCAAATGAGGAAACCAGAAGGGAGTGACCTCTCTGTAGAAACATACATTTACCTAAACTATTATTGTATGTTCTGAGGTCTGATCAAAGGCAAAACCAGTTTACTGATTATCACCTTACCTTCTCTAATTGGAGATGAAAATGTTTCAGTTTAAAGCTTCAAACTGAATATTGTACATGTAAATGTTTGATATCTTCAAGTAGGCGTATCTGTAATTTTCAAAAAAAAAAATTTTTCAAAAAGGTAACAAGTGGACTTGCAGATATTTTCTATAAAACCTGTGGGGCAACAGGCTTTGTGAGTCAATACAGTCATCAAATGTTTTTGCAGTGGCGCCTCAGTGATTAAAGAAACACACGTAAGGTTACGCTAAAATGATTCTGCTTCACCAACATGCAAACCATTAGGAAAATCAAGCTGTTAAATATGAAAAAAAGCAAACAAGCTCAGACGTCATTCTCGGAACAGACATAGTTGTTAGGAGGAACAAGTGAGGAAGGATTATGGAGTCTGTTAGTCTTCCTTGGTCTCTTGTGTTCTGGGGGCCTCTGGATGTCTGGAGTTTTGATCTCCTCCATACCTGCTTCATGCCCTGGAGGACGGGGCTGTGGCCCCCCCACACCCTCTAGCAGATCATTACATGAAGGAACCTTTTAAAAAAACAAAGCGCGTCCATGCTCACAGGTGTACACACGGGTGATCACACCACAAACTACACCCTTTTTGGCTCCTACCTCAAAGCACACTGTGTTCTGTTGATCTTATGTGCTGCACAATAATGTTTAATATTTAGTATTTACTGTCATATTCCCATATATCATTGTGATGTTGTTTATTCTATTCTCTTGTTCTCTTCTGCTTGTTTTCTTTTTTCTTTCTCAACAGGTGATCCAGGTGATCGATAGATGCATCCATCCATCCATTCGCTTCCGCTTATCCTTTTCAGGGTCGCGGGGGGCGCTGGAGCCTATCCCAGCTGTCATAGGGCGAGAGGCGGGTACACCCTGGACAGGTCGCCAGTCTGTCGCAGGGCCAACACACAGGGACAGACAACCATTCCACTCACATTCACACCTAGTGGCAATTTGGATTATCCAATTAACCTATCCCCACAAGCTGCATGTCTTTGGACGGTGGGAGGAAGCCGGAGTACCCGGAGAGAACCCACGCAAACACGGGGAGAACATGCAAACTCCACACAGAAAGACCCCGGCCTGATGGTGGAATTGAACTCAGGACCTTCTTGCTGTGCGGCAACAGTGCTAACCACCGTGCCACCGTGCTGCCCTAACAGTGATCCAGTGATTGATATATGCATTTTTTTTCTCTTTTTTTTCTGCTCATTCTGTTGGTTTTTGGTTTTTGCCCTTCTCCCCCGTCCCTCTTCTCAGCTGTTTCTCTTTCCCTCTTTCTTTCTCCCCTTCTTTCCCCCAGTCAAGTCTGTCCCGTATTCAGTAAGTGAAAATAAAATAAACAATAAAAGGTGAATCAAATGGACCATTACGGCAAGGCTGGGATGGTCAATTTGGTAAAGTAAATCCGTTGGGCATCTTTCTTTGCCTTTAGACAACAATTCTGATGGCAAAAGAGCCAAACGGGACAGGCAAAAAAAAAAAAAAAAAAAAGGATTATGGAGTCTGTGTCTCCATGATTCAGTTTGTTAGTGAACCTAAGGGATGGGAATGCTTAGGCCTCTAAAACCTAACCAGTCGCTGGCTTTAGACAGGAAACAACATCTGTAAAACCTGAAAAACTGAAAGCAGCAACTCTGTGCTTTTCAGTAAGATTTGGGTTATTTCAGAAATCCAAGGCATAGTGTCACAGGAGAAGATGAAAGTCAGACAGAGAGTCAAAAAACAACAACATGTAGCTTTGTAGTTCACTACCAAAACTTAATATAGTGGTATTTTTGGCCATGTGACCATACCTGTTTCTTTAAAACCAGGAATTCTGTAAATGACGTGCCTCAATGCTTAAAGAAACATAAGCAAGGTTACACAAAGATGATTCTGCTTCACCAGCATGCAAACCATTAGGAAAATCAAGCTGTTGAATAGGGAAAAAAGCAAATAAGTTCAGGCATGGTTCTCCATGATTCAGGGCACTGTACAAGTTGTTAATAAATCTCAGGGATGGGAATGCTTAAGCCTCTAAATCCTAACCAGTCGCTGGCTTTAGACAGGAATCATCCAACTGTCTTTAAACGTCTGTAACACCTGAAAAAATTTCAATGGTTTCTGAAAGCAGCGACTCTGTGCTTTTCAATGAGATTAGGGTCATCTCAGAAATCCCAGGCACAGTGTGACAGCAGCTCCACAAAGCTGAAAGTTTAGAGGAAAGATAGTCAATGAGTCTGACGCAGCTTACATAAAGCTGGCATTTTAATGGACACTTGGCTGTTTTAGTAGGGTTTTTTGTTGTTGTTGTTGTTGTTGTTTTTTTTGTTTTGTTGTTTTCTGTATTATTTGCCAAGATTTGGATGTGGCCATAATGGCCCTAATAATACTGAAGTCTTTGAAAATGAGAGCACGGTCACTTTCCAAGCAAAAACCTTGGCCTGTGAACACAGTTCCTAAATCCCAGCAGACAAGACAGGATAGGAGAAATTTAAAAGTTTTCTTTTGTTGTTTTCAAAGCTAAAAATAACCCGAATAAAACTACAATGTTTAATGTTGAGCAAACCAATGTGGAAAATGACTTTAATAGATGTGTACACTGTTTCTACCACTGAAAACCAGCAAGAAAGTACAGAGGTAGACTTTGGTCAGATCTACTGTGGATTATCATTAATAATTTTCCTATAATACATGTAGAGTTATGTGTGTGCTGTTAAATATCAACACTTCACCAAGTTCTTTTGATTCCTCAGAGGCATCCAATGGAAGACAAAACACTGCTCAGTAGATCATTTCACACTTTTATTCTCTTTCACATTACTTCTAGAAGGGAGGTGCGTCCTGCATGACATGCTGTCGCGGATCTCAAAATGGCGATGTGCCCCTGACAGTCTCATTACAGAAGCTCTCATTCTAGTCTAAACAACAGTGTCTCAGTAACTTTCCACTAGAGATGGTCCCTCTTATCTACTTTTTCCCAGGCAAACATGAGCGAGAGTCTGCAGCTTTCTACTCCCCAAGGACACATGGTCTCATGCCATTATTTTTCAGGGCTGTATCCACTTAATACTACACTATATGACTTTATAACACTTATTAATATATACTATATATAAATATATATATATAATGTTTCCGTTCCTCTACCCCCCCCCCCCCCCCCCCCCCCCCCCCCCCCCCCCCCCCCCCCCCTGCCCCCCCCCCCCCCCCCCCCATTTTTGCACATGTCGAGGAGCGTGTCAGGCTACATTTCACTGTGTGTTATACTTGTATAACTATGCATGTGACAAATAAAGAACCCTTGAACCTTGATAAAAAGCATAGCATTATTGTGACACTGCAAATAATTTCATCTCAAAAGTGCCCAAAAAACACTACCTATGCATCAATGAATTTAACAAGAAGTTAACTGCATTCAGATTAAATATAAGCAGTTCATTATTAAAATATGATCCATACCTTGAAAAACTAAATCACTCGTGATATTAAACTCACCTTGTTTTCATAGAGTATGTGATCAGGCTTTATCTCTTGAAACCAGCTGCTCTGGATCATCACCATCTTGTCTGCTCATCCAGTTTCAGTCAGTGGAGTCTTAGAGTTACCAGCAAAACAACTGGTGGTAACACAGCCAAAATAATTTTAGTATTCACTAAAATGTAAAATTTAAGTTGTCCTAAACCTAAATCATGATCATCATTCAAACAACCAGCAAAATATTCCTGGGTTGTCTGCTCAGTACATTGGGGGTGGTTGTGGCTCAGGAGGTTGGTGGTTGGATCCCTGGCTGCTCAGTCTCTGATGGATCCTTCTGTGTGAATGTTAGAAAGAACTTCAGAAAAACTGATTGTATAGATGTGTGGAAAGAGGCATGTTGAGTGCTCAGGTAGAGCAGAAAGGATGCTGCATACAGACCATCTATTTGGAATTTAGTTTTTACAGTGTAAACAAGTGGAAGTTAAAAGACAAAAAATACATAAAATAAATATGTTCATGTGCGAATAAAGATAAATGTGTTAGAAACATAAACATATAAATAAATATCCATGCAGTGACACATGATACACAGTAATATGAGTCTGAATGCAGCCTGTCCTGTACAGATATGTGTTCTGGTGTAACAACAGATTTCTCCACATGCAGGTCAATGAAATAGTGAACCATATATTTGTTTTGAATTTGAATATTTCATCTTAAAACTATAAAGGAGGAAATGTGCTGACATCAGAGCACATCCTTGCACTA